TATTGTATTTGTCTTCTTTTAGTGACTTACTTCATTTGGGGGGATATCGTCAAGATTCAGCCATGTTGTGACATATGTCAGATTCCTTTTTTTTTTTTTTTTAACCAGTCCTGAGGTTTGAACTCAGGGCTTGGGCACTGTCCCTGAGCTTGTTTCGCTCAAAGCTAGCACTCTACCACTTGAGCCACAGCACCACTTTCAGCTTTTTCTGTTTATGTGGTACTAAGGAATTGAACCCAGGGCTTCATGCCTGCTAGGCAAGCACTCTACCACTAAACCACATTCCCAGTCCCTCAGATTCCTTTTTAGGGCTGAAAAATACTTGTTATGTGTAAATAGCTCATTATTTATCCACAAAGACACCCTCAGGTTACTTCCTATGGACAGAACATTCTGCCATTGTATCGTGTGCATATTCATCCAGTTACTACTTGTAAGAGCTGTATTTTGTTTGTCCTGATAGTCTCCCTACACAGAACCTGGCACATAGACAGCTTTTAGGTGTTTAGAGGGATACGTGGATCTTTTTTTTTCTTTGGAGAAGATACTCTCACCCTCCTTAGGACCTCAGACTGAGTGTATATGGAATTTTTTATTTAGAAAATTAAAATCCTAAAGGATAAAATAAGGACTTAATAGCTTTAGTAAGAATCAGCAGAATAAGGAAAGTTGCTGAAGAAGTTTATGGGAGATTGTATTTTTTAACAGCAGTACTGACAAGGCTGTGGATAAAAAAATCATTTATTTCTGGAAGTCTCAGAAACCTTTGGAATCACCAACTTCACCTGTTAACAAAGATTCAACTCATTAGTGTTGAGTTTCCAATTGATTCCTTATGTCAAGAAGATAATCCAGGAGGAAAACTTGCCTTTTTGTAACAAAGTCCTTGCTAGGGTTGAGCTGCTGTTCTATTGTCCTTCAGGTCATACGTGGAAAACCCTACTAATTCCGTCTAAGCTCTAGTGCTCAAAGCTTGGCTTCCAGGGATTAGCAGTGCCACCAGCCTGTTGTCCCAGTGCCTAGTGTGTCACCTAAGAAGACAAAAGGTTTTATCAATCCAGTGAGAGAACCAAATTAACAAAGGAGGGAATTAACGAGCTTCCTTGCTATACTCTGCTGTGCTACAGAACAGAGTGACAGTGGCCATGCTAACTGCCGGCCAGGGATAGACAAGTAGGGAAATGGCTGTGTATTCTTGATTTGACCTGTGGCAGAAAGCTTTCTTAGCACTTTGCTACCCTGGCATCATTGGCCTCTGATGGGGTGATGAGGATGGTGGTGGTGATGATGATGTGTATGTGTGAATCTAAGGGCTCTACCTACAAAAGGGAATGCTCAGTATGCAACAGAACTGAGGCTTCAGAGCAAAGCCACCTCTGCAGTGGCCAGGTGCTCACTGGTAACACTGGGCTTTGCAGACCGATACAGACAACCCTGACTGCCATTTCAAGACATGTCACCTTGAGCATGTCACTCACATTACCTGTTATCCTTCTGTAAACTCTGCCTATAGTTCCTACTTCATTAAAACTTTCACACTTGTAGAAAGAATTGTGAGGCTGTAAGCACAGTGCTACCCCCAGAGTCTGTATCAGCATGAGATCTGGTGTGATTATTTCCATTGTCTTGGGATGGAGTTGCTCCAGGGAATGAGTCTTCTGTATCTGCTGCCAAGGGAGGCTTTGCTGGGTAACAATGTCACAATATCACTGCTTTTCTACAGGGTTAGAACTGAGCCCTGAGGGCTAGAAGTGTGGTTCAAGTGGTAGAGAGCCTGCCTAGCACGCATGAAGCCCGAGTTCAAAACCCAGCACAGTTAAATAACTAATGAATTAGTTTTTAAAGCTGGCTCAAACATAAGGTACAAGTAATTATTGTGCTGATCAGCTTTCCCTTACTGTAACATATAACTGAGATAAATCAACTTAATAAGAAATGGGCCCTGAATGATGGGTAAGCTTTGTTTGCCTAACTCCAGTTGACTTTTCCGAGCTCAGCTGTATGTGCCCATTTCTTATCATGTTTTCTAACCTGCTGCCTGGAAGGATTCTCCTCTTCCAGACTCTTGTGGGCATTTTGTCATTGTCAGCTCCCTCTCTGTGGCACAGGACTGTGTGGCAGTAGTTGTTTCCGTGTCTAACTGACACAGCTGATGTTGTTCCTGGGGTCTTTTCAGTAAAATCCTCCATTGTCACATTCCCTGAAGGTTTCCCATCCATGGCCACGTCCTTTTGCCCATTTTTATGGCACAGACATCTCATCCAGGGGATGTCACCTCTAGTAAGTAGACAACAGACTCAGAATATCCCTGTCTCCTCAAAGATGGGATTCTTTCTGTTCTCTTGCAACTAAACCCTGCCTCAGGCTACCCTCACATACAAATCTGGTTGCAAGTTCGCTTGAATTTATCTCTTGCTCTGCAGACATTTTCCTGGAAACACTGGGCCACAGCTCTAGGAGTGAATGCTAATGGCTCCAATGAACATTTCCTCTGAGCAGTTCTAAACCTTCCGAATACCAGTGTCAGTCACCTGGCATCTTACTCTAAGAGCTCTTTACTGTCAAGCCAAGCAGTATATCTGTCACACACAGGACTCCTGAGGTAGGAGTTCTTTAGCCCTTGTTCCTTCCAACTGAGGAGCTAGTCTCTGTGCTACCCTTGAGGAAAGGAGAGATGAGTTCAGGAGGGCCTGGCCCTCCTGAGCTCCTGATCAAGATAGATGACTAGCCCAGTTCCCAGAGGTGTACAAGGCTTTGAAAGTACCAAGCAAGAATGAGTGATTACCACACATGGGGTGAGTTTGAGAAGACAGTCCAGGAGGAAGGAATAGAACTAGGCAAAGAAAGAAAGGATGTGGTAACAGTTTTAAATGCGATCAGGAAAACAAGGGACACATACCAAAGGACTCTGGGAAAGAAAGCTAGAACCCATTCAGAAGGGTCTGCTTTCCTGGACTGAAGAGCTTTTCCTGTCCTCTCCCACCCACCCACCTTGCTTATTCCACACATGTTGTAAAGTGTGTAATAGTTAGCAAAAACAGATACCGTGCCTGCCCACATGAAGTATCTAAGGTTGTAGGAAAGACAGACAGAAATCATCACATAAAAGTGACAGCTGTGCACTCAGAACTGGTACAAGATCCATTTGCATTTTAGAATCCACCCTGGCCTGAAGAATTGGGGTGGACTGCAAAGAATGAGAAAGGAGAGGAACAGGGAGCTAAGTCCTCTTCACTGAGGCACCTTGGATCTACGCCCACCTTGTGGTTGGTAAATAGGGAGTAGAAAGCATGTGAGACACCTCTCAGGTACAATGGGAAGGACTTGAGAAATCTGACAGACTTATGATGGTTGCTGGGGGCCCTGACAACTAAGAAATAAAGAAACAGATTTGAGGTGCAGTCCTGATGGGATCTTAATTGGGAGTGTGGGCCATTTTGAGTTCGAGGTGTCAGTGGGCCATCCAGGTTGGGGGTAGAGACATGCGGGATTGGAGATCTGGAAAAGTGCCAGCTGACAACATGCATCAAGAGCCATCAGTGTGTGAGTGACACTGTGTATGGATGAGATCACCTGGAGAGAGAATTAATTGCCATACCATGGTCTCAAGGCTGAGAAGCTCAAGTTATAAGCCACAGGAGTGGAATTCTAGCTGGGCTTCCATTGGTTATCAGTAGCTGGTCTCTCAGGCATTCAGCAATGAAGGTGGCACTTTATGCCAAAGTGATAAATGCCAAGAGCAGCCCTTCTCCCTGAGGAACTGGTTTGCTTTTTTTCTTATACACAAACAAGTTTGCATGATTTTCCTTCTTGCTTCAGCAGCCAGGAAGCTCAGATAATTTTGTAACTTAATTTTAGAAACTATATAGGACCAACATATCCAACTATTCCCAAAGAAATACATTTCATCTCTTGGTGTATTTCCCAGCCTTCATTATTTTCTTTGTTTCCTTGGATGTGTGTGTGTAAGGTACCTCACATCCTTTGTAAAATTAAGTAGGGCACAATTGTTTAAAAATAAAACTTTCCCCCCATCCTCATATTTTGGGGTCACCTTTGTAGCATGTGCAATAAGCCTGCCTGGTTTCTGAGCTAATATTGGCTGGATTGAAGCAGGAGAGACTCTTGGAACCTAACACAAGCTAGACAGTAAATTTAACACTCACGTAACTCATTAAAACAGGATAAAAGTGGAGCTTCAAACATCCCTGTGTTTGCCACCAAGTCTGTGAAAGGGGGAGGGGCACCCTTAATTCAGCTCAAGATGTAAAAGTCAGATCTTTCAGAATTGTGAATACACTGCCAAAGTTAAAGACCTGTCTGTGTAGACAAGCACTCTAGATCTGTTCAAAGAAAGATAGAGGTGTTGACTATACAAGGCTAGGATGTTTTTTAAGCTTAGGGTTTCATTTTCCTTAGTTATAAAAAGTTTGGTGGACATAAACTCCCTTATCAAACAGCTTAAGCACAATCAACTAGATGGTAAAGTTTATTTTTGATCATCCAATAATTATGGTTGAATTACGATTTGCTGTAACTTAAGATCACTGTGTAAATAAATTTTCAACTGTGCTCCATGATTGATACCCAAAGGATGGTAAAAATGTCTTGAGGGCTGGGGTAAGAAGGCCACCAAGCAGAAAGCCCAGACACCAGCCACTGCTCTGCCATATATAGATCTCCTTCTCTGAACACAGGGTTCCATCTAAAAGTGAAAGGAAACATTTGAAAATCATTGTATTGGTAGGCATGTTCCTACCTTTCTATTGGGGTATAGCCATCACATACCCCAGGTGACGGGATCTGACGTTGGGCCCTACCCTGCCACCTGCCTTCTCTGATTTCAGAGTAGGACCCATTCTCCCTGGCACTGTTCCCTCAGCCATAGACTTGAATGACTCCACTAATGAGGATGAGATGAATTACAGATGTGGGAAAGGGAGTTTAGGACCAATCACCCTCCTTCCATGCCTCTGACTCGCCCCTTCCCCCCTTCCCAGGAGGAGCCCATCACTTTCTGCGAGGAGGCTTTCGTGTCACACTATCGCTCTGGAGCCATGAGACAGTTCCTGCAGAACGCTACGCAGCTGCAGCTCTTCAAGCAGGTACCCAACTCCCACAGCAAGGATTTATGCAGCTGTCTCCATCTCTGCACTGAGGCTGTAGACAAGGAGGGCCCCCAGACCAGAGAGATCCAGGAACAGGGGATTGGGTGAAGTGGGTATCTACCACCTGCAAGGCCCTTGACAAATGCACTGCATGGTTTTCTAACTTACCATAAATACACAGCCAACTTTTCAGAAAACTCACAGTTCTGAAGGACCTTTCCTGTCTGGAAAGGGAGCCTGCTCTTTGGGCATGCAATGCAGTACCCAGCTAAGATGGCTTCCCAGATCTGTAGACAAGCTGTTGTGCTTTTTCTTTCTCTCTAGTTTATTGATGGCCGACTAGACCTCCTGAATTCTGGTGAGGGCTTCAGCGATGTCTTTGAAGAAGAGATCAACATGGGTGAATATGCTGGTGAGAAACTGTAGATGGCCCTTTAAGCTGAGGTTGTTCTAGACTAGAGTGTGCTTGGCAAGAGTAACGGGCTTCTTTCCTCCTTTATGAGGGAGTGGGAAAAGACTGGTTTCAACCTTGGCCTTGGATAACTCCTTCGCGTTGTGTGGCCCACAGGTCCATCTGAGATCCTCTGTTCTGGAATCTGGCCTCCCTGTGTAGATGAGTCACATTAAATGTTGTGGCCAGCATGATTCAGGGGAAGAGCACAAGATACCAAAACAGGAGAGCTGGATTCAAATGGAGACCCTGTCTCCTGGCCAGCTGTAAAATCTGGATCAAGACATTTCCACTATTTCAAGTCAAGTCTGTTTGCTACTAAAAGTGACACTGGCCACCTCACTGTGCTCCTGCAGAGATAAAGTCACAGTTTGCTGGACTTTTTTTCCCAGGACAGTCCATGGTACAGAGTTAGGGCTTGGCAGATGTTTCTTTACAATGTGAATGTGGAGCTGAGTGCAGTGACACACACCTGGAGTCCCAGCACTTGGGAGGCTGAGGCAGGAGAATCATTTGAAGCCCAGAAGGTCAAGACCAATCTAGGCAACATAAACCCATCTCAAAAAGTAAATTAAGCCGGGTGCTGGTGCCTGTAATCTAGCTACTCAGGAGGTTGAGATCTGGGGATCATGGTTCAAAGCCAGCCTGGGCAGGAAATTCCATGAGACTATTATCTCCAATAAACCACTAGAAAAGCAGAAGTGGCTCTGTGGCTTAAGCAGTAGAGCACTTGCCTTGAGCTGAAGAGCTGAGGGACAGTGCCCACGCCCAGAGTTCAAGCCCTATGACCAACAACAACAAAAAAAAGTAAATGAAATAAAAATAAAAAACGTGAGAAGTGTTGCTTGGTGCCTTAGAACTGGAGGATCTCATTTTTCAGAAGAGGCTTTTGAGGTCCAGGGAAGTGTTGGTGGCTGACTATACTTCCTGAATCCCAACCTGACCTTCCTTCCCTTTACTGCCTTTGAGAGTAAAAATGATAGTATTTGTAGTCTCAGTGTTTGGGTACAGAATAATAACAGTACTCATTCCGCCAGCCCCTCTTACTGCTGAGCATGTCTGATCTGGACCTCTCATCTTCTGACCAGCTCAAAGCCAGTGCAAGTTCCACCTGTGAGTGTTCCAGGCCCTGCAGTCCATGCCGCATGGAGAACGCCATAGCTAACAAAACCATGCAGTGTCTCCAGACGGTGGCTGATGGTCAACAAGCATTTCCTGAGCGCCTCTATGGCCAAAACTGCGTAAACCAAGGAAGACCCAGTTCTGCTCTAGAGAAATTGCTAGTGAGGTAGAAACATGTAGCTAAAGAAAAAAACTGCACCCATATAGAAGGATAGTAGAACCTAGGTTTTTTCCCAGTTGGAATAGGGCTGTTTGTCCTCACTGCATCCTGTGAGAGGTTCCTGCAGAAACAAGGTTCTGGCCACAGTGAGGAATTTCCTTCCTGGAGAAGACATTCAGTTGTTCTGAGCTTCAAGAAGAGCTGTCTCCTGCTGAGACCTCCCTGACCCACTGGATAAAATGAGCAGAGCTCTGCACAGTGCCTCCTTGTAACAAAGGCCAAGTTTGAGTTTACATGGGGATACCCAGCTCTAGTGACTCACAGTGTATCAAAGAACATGTTACCTGTGCTTAGGGGGCTGTTCAAAGGAAAGAAGAGGAAGAAGCTTCCAGAGGAAATGCCATTTCAGCTGGCTGTTGAGGTCTCTAGGCAGAGAGGCTACACAAAGAAACAGTGTTTGTAAGGATCTGGAAGATGGAGAGATTGTTTGTTAGGGGATGCTGGATATGTCCTTGTCAGAGAGGAAGGCTGAGCAGAATAGAAGCACAGGATGGAGAGGCAGGGCTGTGAACTTCCTATATCCTGCGTGCTAAAGGCAATTTAAACAGCTCCTTAAATTACAGTTTCTCTTGGCTTCTCTTTCCCCAGGCAGTGATAAACTGTACCATCAGTGGCTCTCCACGGTCAGGGTAAGTATACCCCATTCAGAGCCACCCAGCCCTGTCCATGGGCTCCTGGCAGCCCTCTGCTCTCCCTGGCCACCCACCAAGACTGCCTCAAGGCCCAGAATCCTCTATTCCCTCAGCTGAAGATGCTTTTGTCTTAAAGCTAGGCCATCTTCCTTCAGGCAGAAACTGGAAAGCAGGGCTGTGCAAGGCCTTCTTGGCAAAGGAAAGGAGGCATGAGAGGTGTCCCTCTCTTCCTGCCAGCTAACGCCTATTGCATGGGATGTTGTCATCCTACGACATTTCTGGGAATCTCCTTTCAGTGCTAGTATGGTTGTCGTGATCATAGGGAAGCCAAAAGTGTGTCCCTCTTGCTGCTCTGCAATATTTTTTACTCCAAAGGCTCCTGGGAAGATGAAAAACACATCCCTGAGAGTTTCATTTGATTTTTTTTTAAGTCTCCTCACCATTCATGTGAACTGTTTCTTGTTGAATTGGCAGCCAGGTACTTAGGACTTCTGGAGACTCTAAAGGATTCAAATTCTTCCCGTACCTTTTCATCAGTTTATCACTGAGCCTACTGTGTGCCAGGCACCAGCTGGGTACTAGGGATTCAGTGGGGACACAGGCCTTGCCCTGGGGTGCTCCCAGCTTGTTTGGAAGGCAAGCACGTAAACAGGCAACACCAACATAATGTGATAAGTGTTCTCCCCCGCCCCAGGGCCAAGTGCACTGCTGCCAAGGCAGGTCCCTTGGAAGTGTCTGCAGTTGGCCGAGAGTAAGCAGCAAGCCGTGAAAGACTTCCTTTGTTCTTCTTGGATGGCCAAACACAACACTTGGCAAATCAGAAGCGAGCAATAAGGACCTGTTGATTGATTGATAAAGGGAGTTTCAATACTCCAAAGGACCATTTAAACAGGATTCTGAGTAATTTTGGAAGGCAGTATGGAATAAATGAGTGGGAGAAAATTTCCTATTGTCTATAACATAGAATAGTTTCTAGGTTGAATTGTAATGTTTTTACTTTAAGCCCGAAATTTTTAATGTGAGCATTTACCAAAAATTGTGCTAAAAGTTGCAGCCAGTAAAATTATATTGCTGTCTCTTATTTGGTTATAAACCCATTTGTTCCAGTCTTTCTCCATTTGAATTGAATGAATGAATTTTCCAGGCCACCGCAAATCTGATTATGTGATACATTTGTTTAAAAGCCCTTCAGAGCATACGGCCCTTACCCTGCCATTCCAAGCTCTTCACAAACTACCATGTTGGGCCTCCTAGGCTCACTTTTGCCCCTCCCATGATACACTGTGCTCAGGACAATAACCACTTGTTCCAGCCGGAGTGCATCTGGCCTCTGGGCTCTTTTGTATATATTGCTTGTCACAAGAATTTTCTTCTCTGTTCCCCACACTAACCCCTCCTTCATGGCCCAGGTCAGACATTTTTTGCCCTCTGGCCTTGTCTGACTGTCCTTGTCAACGTGTTCCCTGTGTGCAGCCATTATAGCTCACCACCCAATGTGCCATTATTTACCCTGGCTCCCTCCTTCCTCCAACCTCCACTGGAGGTCTCTGAAGACAGAATTCAGGCCTCTCTTGGCACAGGGCCCTCAGATCCTAACACAAGAGCTCTCATAACAGCCTGCAGGGATGAGACTGAAGCCCAAGCTTACAGACAGCTCTGGAACAGGGCCTGCGCACTTTAGCTCCCTTCACTGCCCCCTTAGGCAGTGGAAAGCCTTCCTCACACCTTCCTCCTGCTCCCTAAGGAAAGCAATCAAGACTTAGTGTGTTTAATCTGTTTCTGCTACAGCCATGGCTTTCGTGGTCATTTATTCTTTTCTTAAGATTCAGATATTAAGGAAGGCAGCTTACCAGAGAGATTTTTAAAACAACACAGGAAGCCCAGAAGAGGAGAGAGAACATATTTTCAGATGATCCTGGTTGATCAGGATCCCATTTTCTGTCCAGCTTCATATCAGCTAAAGCCCCCAGATATAAAACACACCTGAACACTTGTCTGTTGTAACTACAAGTTACTTTAGAAAATCACTAGTGACTGTGGGGAAACTCTTACCTGAGACAGACACTAAACAGAACATTGGACCTAGAAGCTTCACACTCATCATCTTCAGTCCACACACTTGCCCTGCCACACCCACGTATGTGAGCACACAAACACACACACACACACACACCCAAGTGAGTGTGCCATAACCCCAGCTGTGATTACTATAGACCAGTAGCCATCTGGGCTTGCGTCTCTCCTTGCATCAATACTCCTGAAATGTTGCCCAACTTGATTAAAGAGAAGAGGTCTTTGTTAGTGTTGGCCTACTCTAGCCTCAGCTCTCATTGATGATTGACATTTTTATTATAGAAAGGAAGTGGAGCGATCCTGAATACTGTGAAAACAAAAGCGAACCCAGCCATGAAGACCGTCTACAAGTTTGTAAGTATTGGTCCTGGTCTCAGGAGCCAAACAAATCCATTCCTTAACATGAGCAAAAACATGAATATAACCTGCTGCTCCATGGCAGAGGTGACTTGAAGGCTTTTACTCTATTTCCCACTGGCTTCCTTGCTCTGAGAATTATGTTGCATTGTGACCAGGTTCATGACATTGAACTTAAAGTATATCCAAAAATGTTTCTTCAGCCACTGCAGTAGAGAAAGAGGAAGCTTCTAGCTTTGGCTTTTAAGAGTAGCCTGAGAGGTAAAAACTCAGGCTGTTTCATGTATCCCTGAGATCCAGAACCAGAACTATGATCTGGAAGTATCCTGACAACAAACCCTTCCTACGTGTGTCCCCATTACTATGTCAAATGGAGCAGCTCCTTTGTAGGTTAATGAAGAGTGTGCAGGGCAGAAGCAAATTCTTCATCCTCCCTCATCACTTCTATAAGAGACTCATGCTCTCAGCAGAGTGAAAATAAAAGATTCCATCAATTCCTGGTGTTCCATCTTTTGCAAGTCTCAAGTGTTTGTTCCTATGATTTCTCTTGCTTGCTAATTTGACCCTGAACCACTGAAGTGGAATGATTTGTTTAATTTTTCATTTTTAATTGTGTTAGTCCTTTCTAAGCTTTAACTATAGTTTCTATAATAGGGTAGGTGGCTGCCAACAGAGTCACATAGGTTTAAAATGACATAAAATAAAAACCACAGTGTCCACTGAAAAGAGATTTAGAAAATAGCACTATCAAAACAGTAAAGTCTGTTTCAGCCCTTCAGCCCAGGCAGAAAATTGATCCTGAGGCCCTGCCCTACTGAAATATAATAGATACTCTGAATCTTGCAGCCAGTAAAGCTGCTGTTTGACTCTTCATGGTAGCTGTCACCAGGCTGCCGAGATAAATAATTATACAGAGCAGAAGGACTTGCGAAGGAAAAGAAAAAAAAATGTCTGCCTTCAAAATGCAGAAAATAAAATCTCTACAGCTCCTTTAAGGGATTTTTTTTAACCTTTTACCATTGTATTTGTTTTCATAGCTATTATGTTTTCAACTTGATGATCCCATTTTTCCTTCTTTTCTAGTAATCAGAGAAGGTGATTCGCCACAGACTGAAATCAAGCGTAGTCCCTGCTGGAAACAGAAAGGGAATCTTAACTTAAATTAATTTTTCATGCAGGCAAAAGATCATGCAAAAATGGGAATAAAAGAGGTGAAAAACCGCTTGAAGCAAAAGGTACTTGAAGTTCTTATTCAAAATGTATAAGCACCATGTATGAAATGCGTGGCCACAAAAAAGTAGGATGTGATCAATAGAGGGCTGTTTGATACAGTGTTGTTAGCACACTTCAAAATGCATTACCAGCTGTCCGGGGGTTTTCACACTGTTATAAATATTCACAGACAAAAAACTGTCTTCAAATAACATTAAGACTCTGGCTTAAACCCACAAAGGCAAGAAAGTTCAGAGTTACCACTGTTGGTCTGTCCCTTCCCCTCCCCACCAGGCCTGGGGTTTACAGGTATAGGAAAAAATTGGCTTGGTCCCTCTTTCCTGACACTGTCCCCTTCCTGCTGCCACCCTCAACCGAAGGGCTGTTCATAAACCAAGCCAAGAAGCATCTCCAGGGACAGAACTGTGCTGGTCTCAGCAAGCACACGAGCCCCAGGCAGATATGCACAAAGGATGGCAGGATGAGGATGGTGTAGCTTTCCCACCATGCCCATTAAACAGGAGAGGCCCAGCAGTTTATGTTGAAGACTCCGTGCAGGGAAAGAGAGGCCCTGATTGTTTCCATAGACCATTTGAAAAGTTGTCTGAGGTCACATTGGCTGCTTCCTGACGAGAATCCCCCCCCCCCAGCCTGAGACTTGAGTATACAGTGAGGTTATTGCAACAGACAAGGGTTTCTGATACGTTTCCAACATGATCACAGTTATTACTGCTGCCACCCCTTGTTAAGTACTTGTTAAGGATAGTCCAGGCTAGGAGTATTCACGTTTAATCCTTAGAACAACCCTGTGGTGTTATTCTCATTTCAGGAGTAAAGAGACTGTGGTTCAGAGGTGAAGTAATTTGCCCAAGACCACACTGTGTAAGCCTGGCACAGGCAGGATTAGATTCCAGATCTGCTGACTTCCAATGGCAGAATGCTTACCACTACATACTTGGCACTGCCTTCTTTAAACAAGTGTTTTGTTTTCCAAAAGATGTCTAGGATCACTTACTTCATTATCCCCACACCCCTAAATGTTCCACTCTAAAAAGGCCCTTTGTCTATCTTGGCAGTTGTTGTTTTTTTTTTAATTGAAAGCAGTTTCAATTTTATAAGTCAGAAAAGACCTCTAATTAACTTGAAATGGGTCGAAGGAATTGATTCCTTCCTTTTAATTGGAAAATAATTTGCTCTGACTAAGCACTTAAATTCCTAGTTTCAGCCAACAGCGAGTTCTTAACAGCTAGGATGCACATCATCCTGTAACATAAATCCAGGCAGCCTGCAACTGCAGTCTGTTGCACATTGCCAGAGGCTACCAGGTGGAATTCTTTACTTGGGTGTTGAGTTGCTAAAGATCCTTTTTTATCTTCAGTCCCAATCACATGTAGCTGAATTGGATTGCAGATACTGAGCTGCAGGAAGGGGGCTTTTCCCTCCTTGCTGTCCAGCCTTTGGTTGGTTAGAGTGGCACCTAAACTAAGCAAAGATAGGAACCTCCTCAGGCCCCTGCACAGACAAGGTCAATGGCTCCCATTTCCTTCTGCCATACAGAAAACTGGAGACATCTTTTCACCATCCTGTTCAAAGGCACAAGCCTCTAGCCTTCAGAATATCCCTGCTCTATGATACCTGTCCTTGCCCCCAACCAGCAAGCGCAGCCTTTTTAATGTTACACGTTCATTTAAACAATCTAGATCAAGTTCCTTCCACACCACCTCCTTCTCCCTTCCTTGATAGTATCTAAAGCTGATTTTCCCCCTCCCCTTTCTCCCCCCTGCCAGTCTTTTCAAGAACAGCTTCGTGAGCTAATGTTCTATAGAGAGTGTCAGTACATTTCAGGTGCCACAAACGGTGAAGGCATTTTATAGAAATGTGGCTTGTCACCATTGGACTGTTGACAGATCTATTAGTGCACCCTTTTCAATTTTCACTTTTCCCCTCTTCGGTCTTACAGATTTCCACAGACATGATATTTTGCAGTTGTTCTTGGAAGAGCTATTTTGTAATTGAAACTCTAGCATTGTTCAGTACATTCAGGTCCTGGGTCTCGGGCACTCTCTGGCTTCCTTTCTTGAGCTAATTTAGGACTTGGCTTCACCTGACCTTTCTCACTGCAGTGGAAAATATTTCCTTGCCTCTTTTTTTTTTTCTTTCTCTACCCTCCTGCCCCCTCCCCTCCACACAGAACCTATCTATGTGACTCCCTAAACACATCTTAATACAGACACCTCAAGTTTGGTTTCTGCTATGAAATGGAAGCAGCTCCCAACAAAGATCCAATTTTCAAATGTACTGGGTTGCCACCTGGCCTCCTCTAACTCTGCATAGCAATGGTGACCTCGCAGATATAATCAAGAACCCAATCTTGCCCCCTTTGCTCTTGCCTTGGGTTTGAATTGCAAATAGAAAATGTGGGACTGACCTGTGGAGAGGTCATCACGGTGTATGGAGGGTCCATCTCTAATATGACTGAGCAGGGCCCTTTCTCTGTCCCTTGTTCATTTGTGCTGCCAATTTTCAAAGCCTCTGAAAGAGGAGCTTTCAGGATATCTGTGTGACCATTGGCAAATAATTGTTCATAGATCCTACAGTGTGGCTTTATTCCACCTGCTCTGCTTCAGCCAGCAACAAAAAAAGAAAGATGGAGAACATATTTCTCTGGGTAAATGGAGCAAGGTGGTCAAGTTCTGCTATAGCCTATGCTCCTTTGAAGTCTGACTTGCTCAAAATTGGGAAGAAGAAATGGCAAACATGCTACCCAGCTGATGCTTCCCAAGGGAGGCGGTGGCACCTCCTTGGTCATGTCCCTGTTAGGCATGACCTGCAGAAAAAATGCCAGCAGATTGCAAATTCCACTGCTGCTCTGTGCCAGGTTGGCACAAGAATGCCCTGTTTTAAAAGCAATGGCTACACAGACTTCCTTCTAACCTAAGTTGAACATTCAGATACTTCCATAGGATGTTATTTTGTGCCCTTGAGGAATGCCTGACATTTTTTATCCTTTTCCTTTGTTTATTAAAATATGTCAACCAAACATCCATTTCCTAACCCTTTGTAAAGTTCTAAGTCTTTGATCTTTGAAAAACAAATCAAGCTTGTTTAGAGTGTCTGTGATTGAAAGGAACAAATTCACAGTTGGCTTTAGTTTCTGGCCAAACATTTCCAAGTGCATTGAAGAGAGTGAGCAAGCACGGAGGGGAGAGCCAGGTAGACTCTTAGAGAACAGACATTTTCACACCTTTTCACACAACTGTCAGCTCCCTGTCTCCAGACACATTAAAATATGCGGCAGCCTCAATCACAGACTCTCCAACTTTGGCTACTAGTTTGATATCAATATTCATCATTTAATTTACATTTGCTGTGGTGGGAGGTAAGCTAGGAAATGAAAAACACTGCACGGATTTCAGAGTGGAGATAGGTAGTTCCCCACCAGAGACAGAAAAAGTCTTCACACCCATGGGGCTTTTTAAACTCCCCTTCATTAGGGATTTGGTGTTTGGGCTTCCGAGTCAAATGAGCTGGGTTCAGCGTTGGTTGTGTAAGATGTTATCTATGTGGCCCTGAGTGAGTTACTAGACCTCTCAAACGTAGTTTTCCTCGATGAGAAGAAGCAGATTTTTACTGGATTATCATAAGGATTAGAAGAGGACATGCATTTAAATAGCGATAGTGAGGATCCACTCCATAAATGAGTTTTCATTCTGTTAGTTTGTGCATGCCCCACCTCTAGAACAGCCACACTTTGGAACTTCCCAAGCACCACAGGTCTGACCAGTCACTCCCTGGGATAAAACCTTTCTGACCTTGCTAAACTCGGCATCCAGGCAGGCTGCTACCCCTCAGGTCTCTGTCTCAGAAAGCCTGGTCCTAGCTTTCCCAACACCACGTCCATCCCTCTCTGGCCTCCTGCCTCCCCAAACCTGATTCCTGCCTCCCTGCCTTGCTTGAACCAAGTGTATATCATATGCTGTGCCTGTCTACTCCACAGAGAGGTGGAGTTGAGATCGGTCAGGATTTTTTATTCCAGGTAATACTCAGGGAAGGTGATAGCAATGGCAGTGTTTTCTGCCTCCTTTTCTCTGCAGTGGGAAGAGGACTGGAAGAGCGCCAGTGCTTTGAGCCTGGAGGATCCTGGCAAGTTTGCCACCTGCAGTGGCCTCTGATCTCTGGCTCTGTCCAGTGTTCCTCCTATGTGACCCTTCAGGAAGGAAGGAATCATCATCTTACCCCTTCTAACAGCCTCTTGTTTTTGCTTTTGAAAAATGACATTTAGGTCAATTTTTGCAAACAAAGCATCAGGGAATATTCAACAAATAAGAGAAGTAAACATAAAATAATCTCTTTTGATAGTCTGAATTTTCATATAGTATATCCTGAACATATTCTGGGCTACTAAATGTTTCTTCCACGTGCTATTGTTTTGAATGACTACATATAATTTTATCTGATGGCCATGTATACATTTAATACATCTCATTGTTGGACACCTAAATTAGTTCCAGTGTTTTCTAGACAACTACACTGTAAGCAAGACTTTGCAGAAAGTCTTTTTTTTCTCTCTCTCTCATTTTCAATGAGCCAAAGGGCATATACCTCTTTCAGGTTTTACATGTAAATTGCCAGTTTGCAGAAGGGTACAAGAACACCCTTTCCCAGGCCCTTGGCTGATCTCTTCGTTAGTTGTGAGGCTACAGTTTCTTTAATAAGGGAGTCCAAAGTTGTAGGAACTGACTTCTTACTATGTGTAAGATCACTGTCAGTAGGACAGAGGAGCACTATTCTTGTGGCTTTCTTGGCTCCAGGCCCTGCTCTGCTTCCTATAGTCTCCTGAGAGGAAGCTGCTGTCCTTCCCCACTGGAGGAAATAGTGAAGAAATTGAAAGGTCAGAGATTGGTGGGGTGAGCCCTCAGGATTTGGTTAGAAATCTCTTGCATCTCTGAATAAGCTAGCTAAATAAAATGAATGTGGCTTTTTGACAATCAGGCACATTTGTATATTGGATACATTTGCCTTCCAAATGTTCAGCTTAAATTTACAAAGATTTATTAGAAAGCATGTGCTAGGGGCTGGGAAAGTGGCTCAGTGATAGAGCTCTTGCCTTGCATGCTCAAGGCCCTGGGTTCGATTCCCCAGCACCACATAAGCAAAAAGAAAAAAGCCAGAAGTGGTGCGGTGGCTCAAGTGGTAGAGCGCTAGCCTTGAGCTGAAGAGCTGAGGGACAGCACCCAGGCCCAGAGATCAGGCTCCACAACTGGACCCAAAAAAAAAAAAAAGAAAGCATGTGCTAGATTCAAGAGAACCCAGACCCCAAGAACTCATAGTCTATAGGAGAGACAGCTAAATGGCATGGCAACCTGTGATCAGTCGTTCATCCTCCTCCAGATGGTGGGGTGAGGCCCCGTCAATTTAGGACACCATACTCTTGTATGCAATCATTGTAGGTTCCTCCACTTTCTAGCTTTGTGGCCTTGGATAAGTTATCCTCTCTTTGCCCTCACTGTTTACCAAGTAATCATTGTGGGAACCAAGTGTGAGTAAAGGTCATGGGTTTGGAAGAGTTCCTGCTGGGGGCATGCACTCTACTTAGGAAAGCTGTCTGCCCTTTGCAGGGGATGAGGATCCAACATTCCCTTTGTACAGTGCTAGGATGTTTTTCAAAGTTTCCTTATATCTCATTTAACCAATTCTTCCAGTGGCTTTGAAGTTTGCCAAGCCACTAGTAGCCTCCTCGTGTAAAGAGGAAGAAATCATTGCAGAGAGTTTGGGTGAATGAGAGCAGGCAGCTAGTCAGTAGTATAAATAAAACTAGAAAGATAGCTTAGACTAAGATAATTTTCCCAAAACTACATACATGCATGTTTTTAAATACCTATCATCTTATAGTTTTACAGTTAATACACTTTGTTAACATGTTAACATTTTTTCAGCCACACACATGCAGTGTTCAATTTTTTTTTTTCTGAACCAGAAGTGAATGTTTTATTGTTTGGCCTTATTAAAACTCTATGTTAATCCTCTAGGTGCTCCCACCTGGTTCCAAAATGCCCCTTTTGCCCTTCGTTGCTTTCTGGTGCACAAGAAGCCCCTCTCCTCTTTGTTCCACTTGACCTGAGCTCCTTAGAGCAGCCCCTTTCCAAACAAACCATTTCTAATTGGCTGTCGGCAGCCTCTTTCATCATTGAGTCTTAGCCTGGCTGAACCTGACTGATGTAATATGGGCCAAGCCCTCCCCATAAAGCAAGGGAGGTCATCACCTGTGGTCATGTCCCAATCAGAGAGACTTCTCAAGGCTGGCCTCTACAGGCAGCCAATTCCTTAGGAAAGGAGGCCTGGTGGTAGGCAGCTGGATATGTGAGGTCAAATACATACACATAATGGGGAAATGTGATTGCTATTGTTTATTGAGTAGCTAATAATATTCTATCCACTTGTATTGAATTACTTATCTCCATTAATTCTCACAAGTACCATATTCCCATTTCACAGATAAAGAATCTGAGGCTCTGAGGTGTTATATATATTTCCCCTTTAGTGTAGTTATTCAGTACACAACCACTTTCCCTCATGTGCTGCCACCACTGTTTCTATTCAGCTGAGAAGTTAAAGGAGACCCATTATCAAAAGTCTCCTATTGTGCAGAATTTAATGGATATTAAAGTATATGTTCTGTCAGCGAAAATGTACTTTTGTTCATACAATGAAAGGAATTAGAAATTTCATTTGCTATTCAATTCAGGATGTGAGTTATTTTTACATGGTGAAAATGATTAAATGTTGTCTGTTTATATATTTATTCTGAGTCTTAACTAGTGAAGATTTAAGCAGCTTTCTTGACCTGACTAAAACACACACTGCTTATGGCATGACTGGGCCACATCCATGTTCCAAACAACCCTGTGTGACTCAGCTGCAGGGGCTAGCCATGGGAGCCAGTTGGCGCCTTAGGGTTTTTCTTTTCCGTAGAATTGGATTCATTAATCGGATGTACAAATTTTTGGATTTAACAATATGTTTTTGGATTCCCCAAATTTTTCCCAAGTCAAGGAGGCTTAGCTCAGAATTCAGGAAGAGTGAGGGGGTAGAAAAGAGGGAACATGAGCACACATTTTCACAAACAGTAACATCATCAGCAAACAAATGTAGGAAAATGTCCACACTCGCAAATAACCAAAGTGATGCAAATTAAAACAACAATGAGGTCTAATTTTTCACCTATTAAATTAGCGATACATTTTTAAAATGATGAGACTAACAAGTACTGTGAAACTGTAGCGCATCTATTGTAGGTAGTTGGTGTAAATTGGAAAGCAATTTGGTAAAAATGAATATAAAGCCTTACAAAAAGATTTTTATCTTTTGACCTAGTAATTTCATTTCTAAGGATTTCTATAGAAATAAATTTAAAAAGAAAGACTGTAATATATATTTAGAAAGTTTAAAAATAGAAACAAAAACCCAATAGTAATAGGATTATTCATTAAATTACATGCCTGCTCAAAAATATTATGCATCCATTAAAATTATTATTATAATTACTGTAGCTCCATGGTGATGCTTACATTGGAAAAAAACAGGAAATAAAATTATGCATGAGCTATGATTGCAAGTAAATTTTAAATGTCTGCATATAAACAAAGTGAATATGTAAAATGAAAATAGCTATATGAGATAATATGAAGGTGGTTCTTTTTTCATTCTTGTAAATTATTATATTACCTTTACATTTTGGTTTCTCTAGTCCTTGAAAGTTAAAGGACCAAGTTAGCTTCCATTGCTTTCATTTCCCCCAGGAGGTCAGGCTAAGAATGTCCCAGGAGAGAGGTCGTTGGCTGGGGGGGGGGGGGGTTATGGGTTGTGAGAGGACACTGATGCCACACCACCATCAACCCTAAACCATCATCCTTCCTATAGGACATCACGGAGAATGGCTGTGTCCCCACTACAGAAGAGTCACTGCCCAGGACTGCACCTTCCCCACTGGCAGAAGCCAAGGACCCCAAGCTGCGAGAAGACCGGAGGCCAATCACAGTCCACTTTGGGCAGGTGTGTACCCTGGGCCGGTATGAGTTTTGAGTGGGGGAGTGAGGGGACCGCAGTTGTTTTGTTTGTAACAGAAGCTGTAGCACATGCAGCAATTTCCCATTCCTTGGCAAAGCAGCTCCAGAGAGTTTCTCACGTCGTCAAATGTTTATGTGCTGCAAATGTGTTTTGAAGATGATTTGCAAAACTTTCAGGAGACAGTATAGCTCTGGACATCAACTAGCCCCTCTGTTGACTGGAGTGATTAAATGTAGCCGCTGCCACCCTCACTCCCAGACACTGCCTTTAAGGTGCCTGTCAGCTAAGCATCTCATTAGAACACTTTAGCATCCCAGGCCCTTCTTTGCACTTTCAAATAAAAGGCAACAAGCAAAGTCTTATTAAAAAAAATCAATTATGAGTTCTTTATTAATATACTTCCTGAAAATCAATATCCAGAGTCGTGCTTCTCAGAGTAAGCACCCTCACTGTGGTTCCATAGATCCAGTTCTTACCCAACTGTTTGAAAAGACCTCAGCATTTGAAAAACTTTGGGGGTTTATTTCCCCCTGAAGTAACACATTGTGCTCTGTACAGAAACCAAAATTTGTATTGTGGTTAAATTTTTGGTTGAAAAGGTTATGTAGTCGTCCTTACTTCTTGTCAGTCATCTCCTCTGTTATTAGACATTATAATTTTTCTGTGTTTATGGCAAATGGCTCAGTTGGTAAAGTTTAGTGTACAAATCCATTTGTGATTTTTTCTTTGGTTGGGGTTTTGGTTTTAGCTGTGTTGGGGATCAAATCCAGGGCCTTGTACACTTGCCAGTTCTTGCAAAGTTATTTCTTTTTGAATCACCTGATTCTCTTAACCATTTGTCAATGAGGCATGATTAAACTGGTTTCTATGATTTTCACTTCAAATGTGATTTCCATTTCAACCACATAAAGGACCCAGAATCGTACATTTAGAAAATTACTGATTTTGGCAGGTTTATCAAATGCCTACTATGTACCAGACATTGAGTTGTTTGGAAATGAACTGATGAAATTGCTGTAGTAGGTTATTACTGTAAGATGTGAATTGATTGAAACATGAAAATCATTTTCCTCTATCTCTCATATTTTGTTCATACATCTGTAACTTGGGGAAACTCACCCCCTTTTCTGATTTTAGACTTGAAAGGGATGTTGTAGAAATTGAAATGTAGCACAAGAAAGTAGTGTGAACAGGGTGGTACTCATTTGGCTAATGATCATCTTCAAACTGGACCCGTGTTCTCACCCCTGAAGAGCGGCTTCCTCCCCGGCTTAGGCCCTGTTGGAGAGATCCACACCCCTGTTCCTGGCTGCTTTTGCTGAAAGCACAACCCTGGCTGTCACCAGCATGGCATTCCAGAGTCAGCTTCCTGCTTTCCTTTGTCCTCATTCCTACACACACCAACCTGCCCATGAAAGAAGCCCCTCGCTGGAGTTTGGAGCCCATTACAGAGAAAGAGGGGGCGGGGGAGAGGGATTTCATGGTGTTAAACATTCCATTTTTCGAAACACACAAAAAAAGGAGGCCCTATTTGAAATGGAGAAAGACCTTCTTTCCATTTCAGCAAGAAGTAGAGATGCTTTAATGTCATTCCCAGCTAAATGCAGAATAAAACTGTGTGTGCACATGCGGGTGGGGATAAACAATTAAAAAAGCCACCCCAAACTCTGTTGAAATAAGAGCTGTCTGTGCCTTCACAGGTCTGCAAACTGGAGAGGATGAAAGTGGCTTCCCCCCCCATACACCCCGTTTGTCACTTCCCTCACGTGGCTGCCAGCATTATGCAAGTGTACAAGAAGGCAGGATTTTTTTTTTAATGCATGCATGCGGATTAAGGTCAAGCCCCTAGTATCAGCCATGCAGCGGGCTCTCCCTTCCAGCTGCAACCACAGAGCCTACCCACAGCCGAGAGATGCCTTAATTGAGACGTGCTGTCAAAGTGACAAACACATTTGCATACAGTCTACACTCTATTTATTTTCTCTGGAAAGGTCTACAGTCTGCTGTTGGTTGAACATTCTTAATCAGTTTGCTGTAAGTGAACTGCCAGCTAGCTCACTTGTGCCGGCCTCTTCATTAGGTGACAGATTAGCTGTGGGGGATGGGCCAGGGAAGCTCAGACCCCTTTCTTTTAACTCTTTCTAGCTTTGCCCCCTGGGTGGTAGGTTGTCCTTCAGCCTTTCCCCAGGCACCAGGTTTGATAGGCCACTGGTCACAGCAGGTAGAGCCTACTGGGGTAGGTAGGCATGAGTTTTAGGGACTTGGTGATCTTTCCAAACAATAGACCTTTGAATTCCAGTTCAAAAATATCTGCTGTACTCTCCTGCCATCTGCACTATTTTTGGTTAGTTGATAGTTTTCTTTAAACAGACTCGAACCCACCATACATACCATCTTTAGCCTTTTATTAAGCAATTGGTAAAATTAGAGGTTTAGTATACTAGTGCAATTTCTTTGTAAGCACGTAAAAATTTTTAAATGTTCATCTGTGGCTCACCAAAGCCATTCATAAAGCCCTAGTGATACATACTCTCTTTGGAGAAAGAATAGACCACACACACACCGTAATATCTGTGTCATCTCTGTCATAGACTTTTGAGAAAAAGAATCATTAGCCCTATTTTATGGGCCCAGAGCTGGAACTCAGAACTCAGAGCTCAGCCCTGCAAGGATTTGCCCAGGTTATGTCACCAGCATGGAAACCCAGGACAGTCATGACTGGGGGCTATACTGGCTCCTGCCCCAAGCTAGACTTCTGCTATTCCATATATCTGTTCACGTTGGTATGTCCCAGAAACTATTTCACCTAGCCAGAGCATGTGTACTAACCTTAGAAATATCTTCCCATTGGGTTTCTATTTCTGTAGGTTTCCTTCTTTAAGAACACTTAGCTACATCAAAATAAATAAGAAAAAAGAAAACACAAAGATCAGTTAGCTGCCCCATGAGGCTCTGTAGTGAGGACTGGCAAGAAGGGAGCTTGGCATCAAGGCAGGGGTGACCACTGCTAGAAAGAAAATGTGCTCTCTTGCCTTCTGCTTCAGACTGGGACCATCTCTCCCCATTTGATTATACATTTCTTAATCTATATACATGTCTAAGATAAATAACTCTGTCTTCACCTTCATAGGGCATGATGGAGACAGACACAGGGCAATGTGAGAGGTGAGCTCAGTGTTCTGAGGACCCACAGAGGGAACATCTCCCCACTGATCAGGACCACTGTACACAGTCTCAAATTGGAGCCTTTATTAAAAGATACTTTGTCAACAAGCCAAACTCACTACAGTTCATTTGTTTGCTACAGCAGACATATACTATGTTACCTGGAGCTGACAGTGAACAAAATAACTGGATTTTTAGTTAGCCTCTGCATCTGTATCATGGATGGTTTATTTGAATAGTTTAAAGGTATCAAGGAACTTGCAAATGTCTATTCTTACCTTGAAAAATATTTAGGTTTGGAGAAGCATTATGAAACAATTCTTCTCCCCAGATTGAGAAATAAGATCCAGGAGAGAAACAAATGAGATTTTAAATGCCAACTTTTTAAAATAAGACTAAAAGGAGAATGTTACACTAGACTTGAGGCTAAATGGTTGTTAAAGCATTGCCTAAATCTTTGAAAGTTAGAGTTATTCCACACGGGGTAAGTGGACAGTGGTGGAGGAGCTGCTAGCCTAGGAAGGAGCTGGAAGGAAGGAGGGAACATGCTCAGTTCCTTTCTAGACTCAAAGAGAGAGCCTCACTGCTTCCCAACAGGGCTGGGGAGACAAGGCAAAATAAACTCAAGGTCCCCTGGTTTTGGCCTCTTGGATGAGGAATGGAAGATCCTCCTCTCCAAGACTTGAGAAGGGCTGAGGAAGCAGTTCATTCAGTTAGTCAGCAGAGGTGGCACCCCATCAAAACTACACCCTGTGTTCAGTCAGATGGCCTAGGTTACCAGATGATTTCATATTCTTTTTCCTGATCTTAACCATCTACTAGTAAGGAAGAAAACCTGGAGAGACAGAAACAGAGAGAGAATGTGTGTGTGTGTGTGTGTGTGTGTGTGTGTGTGTGTGTGTGTGTGTATGTGTGTGTGTGTGTCTGTCTGTCTGTCTGTCTGTCTGTCTGTCTGTGTCTGTGTCGTCTTTGTCTGTATCTGTGTGTGTGTGTGTCTTTATCTGTGTCTTTGTGTCTGTGTCTGTATGTGTGTGTTCACTCATGCATGTGCCATTTCTAGGGCTTGAACTCGGGCCTCGGCACTGTCCCTGAGCTTTTTGCTTAAGGCTAGTGCTCTGCTATTTGAGTCATAGCTCCACTTCCAGTTTTCTGGTGGTTAATTGGAGATAGGAGTCTTACAGACTTTCCTGCCCAGGCTGGCTTCATACCGAGATCCTCATATCTCAGCCTCCTTAGTAGTTAGGTTTACAGGCACCCAGCAAGGAAGAAAACCTTTTACCCATTGTATGAATGAGGAAAGTAGCTTGGCTGGGACAATGTTTGCTGGAGAGAGTAGCTCAAGCCTGCTCCAAAGCTAGCAGCAGCATCTCTGCTTCTCTGGGATACTGAATTTTAGTTATGTGTGTGGGCTGCCAACACTGTGGGCTAGGGCCAGGCTGGCTCTCTCAGTCCTCTATTGAGAGTGAGGTGAGGGGGGATACAATCTTAGGTTTGCCTTTCACTGTTTCCTTCACATTTCCCCTGATTGGCCTGAAAACAGAGCAATTACCCACTTTGCAATCTGTCAGATTCCAAATTTTGTATATTGAAAGGTACCCATTTGAACAAAGGTTTCTAAATTTCTGTAACATAAAGTTTTAAGAGCTGGTTAAACCAAAGTTCTAACCAGGAACTACTGTGGCTTCTGAAACAGAGGTTTGGATACCATCCTAAAACCAGCTCTTGGCATGTCATTGTCTGTCTATATGCTTGCTAAGTTTTGGTATCTACAATTTTGGCCATTTAGTCTTATGCTGGGCTCAAGAGGCTGCCCAGCAAGC